ATATTTTTGCCATCTAGTGTCACTTTAATGAAGAACAAGGGAAGAGTAAATCACATCAGCCCTCCAGGTCGGTTTTTGAGGTATAGTCTCTTCTCTTCATCCTTTTGCAGCTGGAAGTTGTGTTTTGTCTTTGCCCACGCTGCTCTGTTCTCCGTAGTAGTGTAGAATGAAACTATGAGACCAAATGACAGCAAATTAAGAGTGTGGACTGACTTCTTTACTAAAAAAGCCCAGAGAAAACAAGCCTCATCGGCCTTTTTGCACATGGAGTTTGTATGCTGCAGCAGATGTGTTTTCATTTTTTACTGACCAATACAGGAGTTTGAGCGGAGAGTCACTGTGCTTTCAAAGTGTTGATTCAACTTAATACTTCCTTCCCTTACGAATATCCCTTTAAAACTAACAGCTTCATTAGCATTGAAACCAGCTTGATCCATTGCTGTGGCCTGAATGCCAAGTGAGAATATACCTTTCCCTGTGGCTCACTCCACCTTGGTACCGTTAGAATGTAAGCACACATCTCTACTCTGTGTATACAGAGAAAGTGATTTACGAACACACGGATAGCAGCTTTTTAATGAAGTTTCCTATCAGTGAGCTTGGCTGGAAGACTGACCATACTAAATCTAAAGCTTCAAAGCAGTGCTGGCAGCTTCATTTGATGTGGAAGCAGTACAAATGGCAAGTGTGGCATTCCTGGTGAGTCGATGACTGCTCCCAGTTTTATTCTCTTAACCTGGTTTTGAAGAACAAAAAAACATATTGAGGGACATTTGAGAGAAATGCTCATATCCCCTGCTCCTTTTTGACCCCATTAAGAAATGGTCAGTCAGCAAAGGGCTGCAGGATCACCAAGAAGGAGAAGAACCTGTTTGGTAGTAGGGATTGCTACCAGGCTTTTCCAGCCAAAGTTTTTCTGTGTTTCCCTTGGTTTAAAAATCTTTGGGTGATGAGATGGCTTCTGGTCCACGGTGTTGTACCTCTGCATGCACATTCTATCTTCACCTTGTCATCATGCTCATCCCTGTGTCTGGTGCTCCTGTCTGCATTGCCCTCTGGAGTTGATTTGCCTTCTCCTGCAGTGAAACCTATTCCTGCACATGTCCCATGATCATAGAATCATAGAATAGTTTGGGTTGGAAGGGACCTCCAACGCTTATCTAGTCCAACCTCCGTGCCATGGGACATCTTCAGCTACATCAGGTTGCTTAGAGCCCCATCCAGCCTGGCCTTGAATTCCAGGGATGGGGCATCCACCACCTCTCTGTGCCAGTGTTTCATCATCCTCAGCATAAAAAATGTCTTCCTTATATCTAGTCTAAGTCTCCCCTCTTTCTTTTTGTGATGGTCCTTTACTGTTGTTGAAGTCTGACCTGGAAGTCATGTTGGCTTTAGAAAGGTCGTGTGCTTCTCTAGGGTGAATGCTTGTTCTGGCTACGGGTTGACTGGTGGGGAGGGTGACAAGTAGGGCTTGCACATCTGTTTGTCCTTCCAACAATGCAGGAGGCTTGCACCTGGGGCTTGCTGCTGTAGTGGGTTACAGTGGGTTACTGCCCCTTCATTTTCTTGTAAGCAAATGCCTGTAGACCTCCCCCATTCAGCACACCCTCCATCCTCCAGCTCCATAGTGAACAAATGTCTCTATCTCTATGCAGCTGGGTGAGGGGGGAATGTGTGAGCAGAGAGAAAACTTCATTGTGACAGACAAGCTGGGAGATTGGCGTAGGCTTCGTAGATATATTAAAAATATATGGCTCTGCTTCAGTCTGTGAAGTCTGATCCTCATATATTAACAGCATGGGCTGGGAGGTGAGGGAGACTTCTTTTGTTTTTGGGTTTGTTTGCTTTATGCCTGTATAATCTCAAAGGGCTTTGCCTACCAGCAAACCTTAGCGTATTGCGGAATAGGTTGGGCAGAATAAAGTATAGTTCAGGCAGTGTGGGGATACAGTGATTTTATTGACAAAGTAAACAATAAATTATTGCTTTCCTGTTCATCTACTGACCATGAAACATGGGCATATTATTAATGCTACTCTGGTAGTTGAATCTTACTCTATCATGTGTTTCAGAATAATAATGTGCCTAAGAAAAGCAGTTTTTGGCTGTGATATGCTGTAAACAATTACAGTAGTTTTTATAAACCAGTTCATAACCACCTTCAGTGTTCTGTCTAAAGAGCCACCTCTGGGATTGTAAAAATTAAAGCATAAAAGCTGATAACTGCATCAAAGGTTACCTCTTTCCATCAAGTGTCTGGTGCAGTGATGGAGGGCTGCTAATGAGGCACCATGAAAATGCTAAATCAGGAGGTTCTGAAAAAAAGATGACAAGAAAAACACTTCCCATGTATTGAGCTGAGAATCTTGAAAATCAGTGTTTAATAATGGAATACTAAGGGAGTGGAGTTCAGCACTTAATGAGTGACATGCATCTAGAAATTATACCAAGGGGAGTTTTATACAGGAAGACCCAAGCAAGAACTTGATACTTGGGCTGTTCCACATAACTCCTTGTTGTTAAGTAATCATTTAATAATTTAAGCCATTAAAGTTCAGCCTTTAAGCAGCTGCCCTTTGAAATGCAAGTTAACTCCGCCTTAGCAGAAAGAGGAAAAACCTTTTATGATTCTTTGTTATTTATCTTTTACCCTTTCTTTTTAAGTTTTTATAGTCATTTATTTTATTTGCTTGTGGGCTGGTGAGTGCTAAGAGTTTGAAATGCATCACGGTACCTCTGATCTTAGTGTCTGTAAATGTAGAATGACCTCAATTGAGATCAGATTCACAAGTGTATTCCTTCCCCCGGTTCAGTAATTGCAGCTTGCCTCTTGCAAAAACAAAGAACAAGAAGGAATAAAAAAGGCAAGAGAAGCTTTTTTTTTCTCTAAAGTTGCCAGCAGCCAAGTGCCGATGTTTCCAAATAGAAATCTTACTTGGGAAGTTGCAATCTGAACGAAACTGCTGTAGTCATAGCCTGAATATATAGTCTTTCCTAATGGAAGTACTCACACTCCTGCAAGCAGAAGCTGATTTTAAACTAGCTTTGCTACTTCTTTTTTTTTTTCCTATGTCTTAGGTCTCAGTTTATTATAGTGGATAAAACCCATGGGGGAAAACCACACCTTTCTCCTGAACTCCCGGACTGAAGCCCTTGTGGTTGTTTCATTCACCTGCTGTCATCCCGCTCATCAGTGGATACTCACCACCTACTTGATGGTCCAGTTGCCTGAAATGCTGTAGGGAGGGTTTGCTGTAGTTGCTGTCTGGCAGCTGTGACATTCAACCGAAATCATCCAATCTGTCCATCTTGTTCCCACAACTGGAGAAAATTACTGTGATCAAGAGGGAAAGGAGAGTAGTTAACCTTGGGTTTACTCCTCAGGAGGGAGGTTTTCTGTAGCAGTTGGGAAGTTTAGCTCTCAGGGGTTTCAGTTTCCAATCACAGCCGATTCCTCTGTGTTTCCAGGCACTGGGATTTGCCTACATGCTTTTTTTTCTGCTGAATTATCAATGCTTTCTGACTAAGGTAAAGAAAAAATTTGGATAGGTTCAAAACATTCTGCCTCAGCACATAAGCCACCTTGTAAGTAGTAAAGAATGCTTCATCCCTGGTGGCGTTCAAAGCCGGGTCGGGCAGAGCCTTGGGTGTCATGGTTTAGTGTGAGGTGTCCCTGCCTATGGCAGGAGGGTTGGAACTGGATGATCTTAAGGTCCTTTCCAACCCTAACTATTCTATAATTTTATGATTAGGACTTGACAGGTTAAAAAAAGGCACCATACATTTTAATGTTCATTTGTGCATCTCCATTTATGCTTTCGTATAGGTTGGAGGGAAATAATGAAAAGCAGCTTGCATAAAGTATAAAGGTGTGAATCTGATAGGATTTGTGAGTAAATGGAAGTATTTCAGTGTGTAACCACAGCAGATGTTGCTTGGAAACCTGTCCACATAGGACAGAAACACAACCTAACCGATGGGACCAGCAGTACTGCAGTTCAATGCATTGTCTTAATCCCTGTTTGTGGCAATGCTGCAAAAAACCATAGTGCCACAGTTTATTATTGCTGCTGTACATTGTAGGGGATGACAAAGAAGGGGAAAAAATATGTACCTGTCACAGTAACCCATTCTGTCACGTTCACATGTGCTATAGAATAATGATATTTGGAAAGTAAATGTGCTTCCTACTAGTCAAGGGTGGGGGGAGAGAATGGATGAAAGAGACACCTTTTAGCCTGCAATTCTCAGGGTTTTTTACTCCAGGCTTTTTACTTCATTTTCCTTATAGCACTTTAGAGACTTTGATTGATTGCAGCATCTGATTTTGATGGGTCCAGAGGCTTCATACCTAAGCTATTCCTTGACTGTACTTTCTCTCTTTGTTCATCATAAGTTTCTTCAAATGGAATATTTTGTTTTATTGCATGGTGTCTCCATCTGGTCTGCTGTGAGAGGAAAGCACGTTCTTTGAATAACGCATTCATAACTCACAGCTTTTCTTACAATGGTTGCTGAGGAAAGACTTAGTTTTAGACAAAAAGCCCTGACATGTTTCGCTATCAGTGCGCTGAGGTTTTGTGTAGTGACCTTTCCCAGCGAGTGACCTTCAAAGGGTGAGAACTGCTTTGAAGTTGTGCAATATTTACACTTGTACGGCCCTGAAGAATTAGGGTATTTGTGAAAACATTTCATCTATCGTGCATGTGGATTGCAGTACACCCATAACAAGCGTGTAGTGCATCTTTCTCACCTTCCTTTAGTCCAAACACTTAATAATAGAGCTTTGACTATTTTTAACTTTTAATCATCACAGTTGTAGCTTATTCTGTGATTTCCAGTTATAAGCACTTTCCTTGCAGTAGTATTCCTACCTTTGTGACTAGGTACAGTACCAGAAAGTATTGAGTTGCAGTGTAGTAGCTCTGGAGAGACATGACGTAAGCCAAAAAACCCACTGTAGGATATCTAACTTGTTTTGTCATCTTTATTTTTTGCAGATGTCATCCATACTGTTGGGCCGATTGCAAGAGGCTATCTCACTGATGATCATAAAGAGAACTTGGCAAGTTGCTATAAATCCTCTCTGAAACTGGCAAAAGAAAACAACATCAGATCAATTGTAAGTACTGAATGAGAACACATTGTTTTTTCTAGTTTGGCTCTTTGTTTCCTCTCTGTGGAATAAGTATAATGGTAGGATTCCAGGAGGATTTCTTGCTTTATGTGATGTGCAAAACCCCAAGAAATTAAATATTGTTTAACCAAAATAGTTGCTAGAGGAAAGGGATATCTTGAGAGTTAAGGAAAGTTGGCTTGGTAGCAGGAGTACAACAACCGCCTCATTAATACAACAGAAAAGGAAGGAGCTGGTCCCCTGGCTCGTTCCTTTACTGTCTTATTGATTTAAAAAAGACCTGAGAAGCCACTGACCAAGAGGATAACTGCATGCAGTGTTGCCTTCTAGATAGCTGAGAAGTGATTAGTTTGTTATGCATTGTCTGTTAATGTTTCTTCCTAAAAATAAAGGTATTGGTCAAGTGGCGCTGCTTATAGCACCACCTGACCAATTCAATCAGAATAGCTTGTTACATGATATACTGTTGAATTATGAAGATTCCTTGGTTGCTTGAAATACAAGTTACGGTTTTGTACCTCAAAAGGACAGGTTTTCAAAGTCCAGAGAGAAAAATAGCTGTTCCCTCTCCAGCTCTGCAGCTTTTATCCTGTAGCTCAAATCATTGCAGCTGAAGTCTTTAGATATCCATAGTTCCTTATATGTTTGACGAAGAAAGAAGTTATCACTTGGGCCTGACTTCATACCTTTTGGGTTATTTCAGATGGTTTTGTGATAGCACGTATGTTTGGCGTTTTAGAACACAGGGATTTAATATAAAATATGTTAGGTGGACCAGTGGTGTTAAATCAGGGTGGAATATTCAGTAGGGGAAACCTATTAATATTGAAAAGCTGCAAATGAAAAATGAAGCTTTTTAAGAAGAAGAGCAGGATAGTTTTAGGGCTTTGAGTCTGAGTTAGATGTGTCCTGTAGAGTCAAACCTGATGAATGCCTCTCATTTCTTTCTTGGTGTAAACTGTGCACATTGCACGTTTTTCTGCTAATGAAATTCTGAACTTGTCAGAATGGTTCCAGTGAGCCCTTTCTTTGCCCTTATCCAGCCATGAAAGAGAGCTGGTACCCAATGATTTTTGTTTTGGGATGGTTTGTTGGTTGGGTTTTTTTTTCCTTAAAGCTAGGTGTGTAAGTTAGAGCCGAAAGCAACCTCAGGGTGCGGGGCATGTTTTGAGCTCCCCTCTGGGATGTAAACACAAATCTTTCTGTCCTGATGCAATTCTTATTGGAGCCAGTAAGATATCTGTGCTATTGCTCCTACATTCATCCTAATTCCTGGCTTTAGGCTCGGTTAAATGCTTCTTCAAGGGCATTCAAGTTCGTGAGAAAGTTCTTAATGGGAGGGGGGAAGGAGAAAATAGAGAAAATATGCAATAGTGTAAGAAAAATAGTGAAATAATGAAGGGAAATGTTTAATAGGCATTGGTCATGGCTGTCAATTCTTGCATCTGTAGGGATTCTGTGATTTTGGGATGTTTTAGGTGGTAGGTTGGTATTTAACATGGAATAATAAAGAGTGGCCGTGCTCGTGGGTCTAATGAAAGCTACCCTGATATTTTAGTTAGAAAAGATGACCATGGGATAAATCATCCATGGATTATTTCCTTGCTGGTTAAGAGCTGTTGACTGTGCACCTGTTTGAGATAAAAAAGATACTCAACACCCTGACTTGCAGGACACAGCTGCACAAGCTGAATGGGAGCCAAGAGCCATTCATTCATACCGGCATTAAAAAGCTTAGCAAGCAATATGGATTTTAAAGTCCACATGACAGATCATGGATTGCTCTGAAAAGCCCTAAGTCCAGCGATTTCAGTGATGCTTTGGGAAGTGAAGGCTACTTGAGTATCTACCTTAACGAACAAATCAAGCCTGTAGCAAAGTAAAATGTGTAATTCATTCAATTAAGGAGCAGTAGATTACTGTGAGTCTGAAGGCAAGAATGCAAAGTGCAAGTGGGTCTCACACGATCCAGTGCAGCAGACATAAAAGGAAAGAAGATTAGTAAATGAATGTACAGAGTTCTGAGGATTCTGAGACACCATAGAGGGAATTGAGGTACTCAAATAGACAGTGTCCAAGTGTGGGCTGGATTATGACAACAGATAAATTTGTGATAGGGAGACGACAAACAGAAACTGAGGGGGTGGAGGAGGGTTACCTGTGTAAAATAGGGAGGTGAAAATCAGCTGTCCTGATTGACAGCATATTCTGATTGCCCCTGTAACGAGAAGATTAAATAATTATGGAAAAGAGAAAAATGAGGAATTGAAAATAGGCGCTGAGGAAAGGCAGGAGAAGCAGTATACTTCTCACCTATAAATAAGTATGCATTGACAATAGAAATTTCTAATATACTATAGGAATTAACTAAACCCAAAAGCATCGGAGCAGCAGTAATTGTAGCAAGTGAGAAGAAAGCAGGAAGACATTAAAGAATTGTAACAACATGAATGTGTTGCGTATCTTCGGAACAGAAAGGGCAGCAAGTGTAGAAATTAATGCAAAAAGAGGAAAAACCCCACAGTTCAAATTGTTTTGAACATGAATTGTGTCATAGGAATTACAATTGCTGGAGCCATTATGAATGAAGAGTAATGATAAATGGCAATGTATTGAGTTGGGCACAAGTGTGCAGGGTGACTCAGGGTGCACCACTAAACTCAGTTTAATTTAACATCTTAATGATTTTTGAAGAGTACATAAACAGCTCATTAATTATATTTACAAATGATACTACATTAGGCAGCATGGCAAACACTAGAAAAGGACAGAGATGTATGATGACAATTGATTACAGACACTGCAACTATAACCTCATCCAGCATTCACTTAGAGCACCAGAAGGGAGGTTTTGCCTCTACTGCAGTGGAAGAGAGGTCAGAACCAGAGCTGACAGCTACAGTGTAATTCGGCATGGGAGAAAATGAAGTAGCATATGGTGGAGAAAAATAAGCCAGTCTGCAAATAGGCAAAAGGGAGAAGCATGCTGGAAAGCTAGCATAATGAGGAAATAGTCTCTAATAATAAGCCTCAAATTAGATCTACTTACAGCAGTCACTGTTTTGTTTCAGTGTTGCATATTGTTGAGCTGCCTATAGAGACATGATAGATGCCATGGACATTGTAACTTCTGTTCAGAAAAGGGCTGGGAGAACAGGAATAAGGTTTGGACTAGATCAAAAAACACGTGTGTGTAGATGACTTCTGTATTGAGGAAAGGGAGCAATGATCTTGAAATACTGTGAATTGTGAGATGTAGCTTTATGGAGGGGGGAGAAGGATATCATTATGCATATGACAACATGATAATTAAATGGTCTAGATGGTAGTGATTTGGGTTGTGTTTGTGTCCAAGGTGTCCAGGTGTAGATGAGAACAACTTTGTGCTGTTGTGGAAGCACTGAAATCTTATCTGAAAATGTTATAAACTCAGTATATAAAAAATCATCATGATGGGTAAAGCCAGAATTGAGACGATGGACTTACAGAAAAATGCCAGACAGTGTGATTGCCAAGGCTCATAATTTACCAGCAGCCCAGCCATAGGTGAGGATTGGTTGGACCAGATGATCCTTGAGGTCCCTTCCAACCTGGTATTCCATGATTCTCATAACCATTAAGGCAGAAGTAAGAGCCTCAGGAACATTATCTGCAGGATTGTTCAGTGAAATCAAACAGCCCCTGACATTTGTCTCCTGTGCTCATCTTCCCAAATCTGTCATGTTCCATATAAGCCTTCAAATTCCTATCTGCTATTTTCATACAGGAGTTTGTGTGTCTCAGGTCATCTGCTCCATCTACCTTTTAGGTTACCAAAGTAAAGTTCATGTTTGTGTTTGTCCTCATTAGCTGGCATCCCTGAAAACACCCGTTGCTTTTTCATTCACACTTGTTTATGTAGCTGTGCCCCCTGTGGGACACTTGAGCATTTCTCTGGCTGTTTGTGATGTCATTGGTGCTGGGTGAAGCTTTGTGTTGGATGAGTCTTGTTTATACAATCCTCTGTCTGGTTAAGAGGATTCTTGAGACATTGTTTCTGTTTATCTGCACTTAAGTCCATACAGATAAACAGCAGGAAAAATATGTAAGGTAATACAAGGAGTTATTCTAGGAATAAATAGTTATCATTTAAGCAAATTAAGTTTCCTCAAATGTTCATAATTTCCTAATAATGTAAACAATTGTATTTTGATGTTGGTCTCTAACACACTAGTAGCGATTGCTGTCCTGCAGCAATTAAACCTCATCTGCCTGAAACACAGCAAATACATTATAGGCACCGATCTTCACTGAAAGAAGAAATGATAAAAATAGCTCAATAGTTGTTTTTCTGGGTTTTCTGTATTGGTTTTCTAAATAAGAGTCTTGCTAATTAATTGTTAGGTTTCCAGGCAGACTGGGGAAGCTGCAATCACTGTGTTCAGGGATAAATTGGTCCCCTGTTTATATGTTGTTTGAAAGTATTTACTCTGTGTGCCCTGGCTTTTTCGAAGGACCTCTTGTCCTGCTTTTCTTTGCGCACACCGCTCTGAAGCCATCCGATACCCTGCAAGTTTTCTGAGCATCATTCAGACTTGCTCCTGGTTAAAAAAATACAACCCAAAACTTAATTAACTGATGTCAATCAGAGCCAGGATTGCAGCTAAACAGACACTTCGTGAACTACAGAAAATAGAAGAGGATGCTGTACATGGTTGTGGGTAGGATCCAAGTCTAGTGCGTTTGCAGAGAAGGGAACCTGGTGTTGATCCCTTGCACAGAAGGCTTTTAACCACAAGAAGAGTACCTGCCACTTACCTGTTTACAGCACTTAAAGAACCAAATTGTCTTTTTAATTGGTATTTTTCACCTTTAAAAGGAAGCTGTACTTCTGATATGCTGCACTGTTTCTTTGAGCTTTGTTTGAGTGAAGACATACTTAGCCTCTGTGCTGCCTGAATCTTCAGTTGTAACTCTGAGACTTGAATTTTTAATACCAATTTCAA